TTCAAAACATAAAAACTTGACTGTACAAAGTTTCACATCACATTATGCTTCACACACACATATTGAACACAATTTGCAAATTGAGTGCTACATGCTTATATATGTGTTCTAGTTTAAACTTTTTCATCTACACACACTTCATATGATATATTTAAGCTGTTAGAATGGTTAGAATCACACAAAACAATCAGAAACCAAAAATCACTTTTGTTATGCATTTTATGTTATGTGATTTGCAACTTATGGACAACAGTCATAATTACTCATGCCTTGGCTCAATTTGTGCTTGATATCTGTTATATATGATATATGTGATGTGTATGTAACCTTACCTGACTTGTAGCATGTGTATACCAAGCTGTCCAGTTCAATTTGCAAGCTTAAAACCATGAAATTCACACCAGCTATCGTTTTTTTCACAGGAAAGTGAATTTCAAAAAACCACCTATGCCATCCTCTTCCTCTCATTTTTCTACCCAATTTACATATAAAATTTGTCCCGATCCGATGAGCGGTTAGTGAGATACGGTATAAAATGTATTTGGTTTCGATTATGTTTCCATGCATTCAAAACACACACACACACCAGTCAGCGTTTTTTTCACTAGGTGAACAATTTGGAAAAACTAACATCACCATCCTCTTCCTCTCATTTTTCTACCCCAGATCCATATAAAATTTGCCTCGATCCGATGAGCGGTTAGTGAGATACGGTATAAAACGTATTTGGTGTTGATTATGTATTTTGCCCAGCCATGATTCAAAACGAGCCTTGTATACATATTGTTTCCATTTGATTAATGGATGTAACAGCCGCCCCAGCGGTAAGAGCATGCGCGCAATTATACCTTTCACCATCATGACCAGGGTTCGATCCGGGTGGAGGTCGAACCCTTTTATTATTTTTCCTATTTTGTACATAAACTTCAAAAATTCGTAACTCTCTCATTTTTTATCGTTTTTCACCCGTTCTTTTTTCATTGTGTTTATTTTAATGTGTACTTTCATGTCATAATTTTATTTTCCATGTTTGATTATTTTTTCACCACGTTTTATGGTGCGCAATCCGCGCGTCAACGGTACTAACCCTATTTGGTTGCAGGTGAAATTTAGAAGGTTTCCTCTTGTGTTTTCTCAGGAAAATTGATTGTTATCATGTCTATATATGTTTGTCAACATGTTAGAATTTTTACCTTGAATTATTTTTATATTTATCTCATCTGTCTGTTAACGGTATTCCAGGTGCGAACTGTCGTCACGGTTCTCGTACCAAAACAATTGCTCTGATTGTCATCATTGCTTTCCATCTTTAATCTTTGTATTTAGTTGTCACCATGAATGTTTGAATGATGTTTGTATTTTATTTTATCCCTAAGCGACGGAGCTCGTTAGCTTTCGTCCAATCGCCGACAATACTGTTCCTCCAAAGGAAGGTCTGTCCACTTGACTGTCAATGTCTTGGACCAAAATCTCTGCTATCCCTTGACTTTGTTAAGTCACCTTAACCCTAGACTAGAAGCCTTTAGACTTTGCTTGAAGTCTAAGAAACCCACCCATACTAGGAGTGTTCTTCAACTAGAACCCTAGGAAAGAGTTCGTCAACTCTGTGTAAGAATCATCGTCATGATTTCTCACTTCCCCTTTTTACAATTTAGTTTAGGGAGTTTTGTCAAACTCCACACAAACATCGTCATGTTTGTTCCCCTTTGAACCTTGATCATCATCAAGTGTTCTTTTCCCTTGTGAGGTGAACTACGATTGCTCTGATTCTATCCTAGTCAGGATACGTAGGCAGAAGGTGCGATACCTTTGCGAGCAAACTTAGAAAACCACTTAGGCCTTTATTTTGTTTTATCCCAATTCCCAATTAAACCATAATGCATGTTTCACACCTTAGCAAGTAAATGAACAAAAGGTTCCTGTAGAGTACTACAGATATTTAGGGTGCTAATACCTTCCCTAGATATAACCAACCCCCGAATCCCCGAATCTCTTAAAAGCGTTGTGGTCACATCGTGCAAAAGGTTCTTTCTTTCTTTAGACCTATCCTTTGGATAAATTAAAGACCGGTTGTAAAAGAAATAAGGTTCAAGTTAATTAATAGCTTGATATCAAATTTTCACCGCAACAAGGTCGCTCCAAACGAGGTCGGCGCCCCGTCGGCAGGGGGGAGGGACTCCGAGGTTCTTCGACGAACCGCGTCCTCCGTGGGGGAGGAGACGGGCTGATGGAAACTGGGCGCTGGTGTCTCCGCGACTGAGGGGACAGACTGAGGGAAGCAGGACGACAATGTCTCTGCGGGGGAGAGTGTGATGGTTGTTCCCTTTCGAGCATCCTTATTCGTTTGTTCTGCCCGAAGATCATCAAGTTGGTTTGGTTGATGGTCGTGAACAGAGCCCCCACGGTAGGATCGGCGCCAGCTGGGACCGGGATGGGCTGGTAGACAGCTGGGTTGTCTAAGCGTTGGACGGTGTTGTAGGATGCGTCTTCGGAGGAGGGAAAGGCGGTGCGCCCGTCCCTGTGGTCACCCTCTTCGTTGCGGACGACCGTGTTGGGATTGTGGTTGTCCCCATTGAAGAAGAGGGCAAAGGCAGATCCTAGAGCATTGTTGTGGCGGCTGACATGATTGGAATGGAAGTTGTTGTTAATTTTGCTTTGGTTCTTGAGTTGTTGTGCTTAGACAGGAGAAAGAACGGGGAAGCGGGTTCCCACAGACGACGCCACTGATCTCACATGATTAGAAAGGAGTGAGTGACCTGCCACGCGTCGTGATCTGATGCCTTCACCGAAGTTGTGGAGGAGGAAGGGGGTGTGCCTGCAAAATGCTTCGATGCCTAAGTAAGTACCAGAACTAGAGAGAGCAAATACAAAGAGAAGATGTGGAGAATAGAATACCTGACCCTCTAGGGTAAGAGGGTATTTATAATGTGCCCCCAACGCAGGGCCAACAGTTACATTGCATTGAGTCATATTGCCAAGCCCAACACAAGTAATTGTCAGGGCTTACGTGGCGTAGTGAAGACCAGCACGTGGTCTTCGCCCTAAATCAACTTCTCCGTGATCTTCGAAAGGTGGATTGACCATCTTTTTCAGAAGTGGATAGTTGCCTGATGATGTGTCCCCGCGTGGGGCACACGTGAAGAACGTAGGGAAAGCCCGTGGATTTCCCCGTCAAAAGAGGTCTCTGTCCAACAGAGAAAAATTAAGTTTCGTTAGGCCTTATCAGCATAGTACTGGATTGAGCTTGCCCGACTGAGGGGCAGATCTTGCTCAGTCCAGAACAAAAACAATGACTATTACTCCAAAATTTTGTATCATTACTGTAATAAGTTAAAAACTTGGTCCATTAATTTTTCATAGACTACCATTTATAATATTTTGTTTATTTTAAAATTTTAAAATCATGTTAAGTAAACACATTATACCATTAATACATAGTGAATACAATATAAAATTGAATAAATAACAACTAGAAAAAAAAATATTACTTTAAATCCTTCGGTTTGACAGTTTGACTGACATATACAACAAGTGTTTTTCCTTTTACTTTGTTTGGATGTTAATAACACCAATTATATCTACAATATAAGCAAACATATATAATTTGAATTTAAAGGTAATATATTATCGGTGTAATAAAAATATTACACAAACATTTATTTAAATTATTACTTTTTAATTTGCAAATCGAAAACGAATGTAGAATTTAGGAAAATAATATAGTATGCTGCTTTAACATATAAAATGAAAGATGGAAATCAGAAGGGATGGATAAAGGAAGCAAGTACACTTTATATATAGGGTTTATGTAAAGGATAAAAAAGTTAATAGAAATTGTTATCAATGATTTAGAGTTCCTTGTTTTGGAACATAGAAACAGTAATTAATTTTTTTATTAAAATAATATTAATCAATTAGAAAATTAGAAAATAAAAATAATAATTAAGAACATAAAAAAAGTTGTTTAAAACGTTTACTCAAGGGTTAAACTGTAAAAATAGTGATAATTAGTTTTCATTGTTATAATCTCAACCATTGAATTTTTCATTGCCACATGTCATACTTCTATTAAAAGAAAATAGTTATAAAAATGGAGCAGATTCAAATTCATGGAAGAGTTAGCTCAAGATGATACTTTAATCTTAATAATATTGTTCAAATCTTATACATAACATTTTAGAATGTGCAACATGAAACAATTTATTCTCATTGTTTTCCCCCACAACTATCAAATAATTATGAGCCATAGCTCTATATTGATTTAATTTTTTTGTTTTGTTTATAAAGTTTGTTTGAATAAAAAAAATTATTTGTAGTTTATTAAAATAAGTGTTTATCAATTATTTTGTATAGACTATTTTTATAACATAAAATAAAATAAGTTTAAATTATATATATAATTTTTTAGAAGATATGAAAAGAAATTCAAAAAATTTAAAGCTGATTTAATTACAATTATTATGTAGTGTCACAAAACTTAGGTTCGCATATAAGTTTTAATAAATTAATTCAAACATGTTTTATTAGCTTTTGATTATTAAAATAGAAAAAAAAATCGATCACATTAAAAGAAGTAAGTGAATAAACTCATTTCTTCAATGAAATTTATGTTCTTTTTATATTTTGTACTTGGACTTTATTTTCTTCTTACCTCTTCTCTTCCAAATTATAAAAATTAAAAAAAAAACATTTTCATTCTTTATCGTAACAAATAAATAAATCATTTTCCTTCTTCCCATTTGAAACAAACGTGCTAACATGTTAACGATACTACTACAACAAATGAAAATCATCTTTTATATGCTTTTTCTAATTCAAAAAATAATAATTGTATTTTTCTGAAATAAAATATAATATTTTCGAAACTAACAAGTTTCTCGAGAAAGGATCCAAATCCCAACGAATCAACGAAGTCACTTCTGAAATCTTGTTTTTCCGGTGAATCGGTGGTGTAAAACGAAACTCTTCACTCTGATTAGTTTCAGATTCGATTCATTCAAATGGATGCTATCAGAAAACAAGCTTCGAAGCTTCGAGAACAAGTCGCTCGTCAACAACAGGTTCGCACACAAAACCTTTCTCAAAATTCATCATCAGATCTTTCCGTTTCTTCATTGTTTCCGTTCAAATTCATTTCACCTTCTTACAGTTTTCCTATCGTGCCGCTGTTTTCGATAATCTGTTATTGTATCAGTTTTCAGTATTTCACTATTATAGTTTAGTTTCGATTCTATAGCATTGTGATTGTTGTTATCGAGAATTTGAAACTGCTTCGTAGTATTGGATCTAATCGAATTCCACACTTGCATTGCTTGAATCAATGATTAAATGCTATAGATTGAAGTTGAATTTTAAGCTTATATGTTGATTATTCATTTGATTTAACTATTTAGCTGATTTTGAAATCACTGAGTGATGCCTAATTGCGTACTAGTAAATATGTATATCACCGTTTATTATCGGTTGATTTTGATTTAACAAGCTTGAATTATTTATTTTGTTTATAATTTTTTTTTGTTCGTAGTCTCTTAGTTGTTCCTTTGTTTTGATTGCTTTGTATATCAACGTGTTGATGAAAATCTGAAATATTGCTATTCCAGGCTGTTTTGAAACAGTTTGGTGGCGGTGGTTATGGAGGTTCAGATAACATGGTTACCGATGAGAGAGAGCTTCACCTACATCAGAAACTCGAGAAACTTTATATATCAACCCGTGCAGGGAAGGTTAGTTTGCTCATTGATGGTGGTCCTTTATTTAGATTCGAATTTCATCTTCATTTGTTGCATCTCTCTAAGGCTGATAATGGAAAATGTTTGGTTTTCAGCATTATCAGAGGGACCTTGTTCGTGGAGTAGAAGGTTATATTGTTACCGGATCCAAGCAAGTTGAAATAGGTAAGTTAGTAAGGAGTGATGGTTAATGAAGCTTATGTATAGGTTTAACGCAATTAGATTGCATAATATATTGATGTTGAATTTATATATTTTTCATTAAAAAGGAACAAAGTTGTCCGAAGATAGTAGGAAATATGGTGCGGAAAATACGTGTACCAGTGGGGGTACATTATGCAGGGCTGCACTAAGTTATGCACGAGCCCGTGCCCAAATGGAGAAGGAGCGTGGAAACTTACTAAAAGCTCTTGGTACACAGGTTAATTGTGTGTTTGTGGCTTGTTATGTATGAGTTCATCAAGCAGCTACGTGTAATTGCAAGATTTTGATTTTCAAATCTGTCTTGCCGAAATAATGACGTTTATTTTTCTAATAACCTAACTGTTATACTGAATATGAATGATATTTACTGAATTGATTTTTGTTTGGAAAGCTTGGACCCCGTTTCCTTTGTTAAAACATTCTGTTTTGGTTTACTAAAATTTGTGTGAATTTTTTACTTGCTAGCAAGATACTAGACTCTTGAAGTGAACAATTGCGTGGATTTTGTAGAAACAAGAAAAATGCCTAAAGAGTTCATTATTTCCAAAAATGCGACATCCTTTACTAGTATTTTCAGCTTCTCTCCATCACAATGGTTCATTTCAAGAGTCACTGATCTTCTTATTTGCTAATTAAAATTAGCACATATTTTTTAGAAACAAAGTAAAGATTTGGCCAAAAGCATGTCTATACTGGTAATAGTAGCTTGGATTGTTTATGTAACAGAGTGTGATTTCCATCTCAGCCTTATAATTCTGATTGAACTTGTACTTGATGCTGAATAGGTTGCAGAACCCTTAAGGGCAATGGTGATGGGAGCTCCATTAGAAGATGCTCGGCATCTCGCTCAACGTTATGATAGAATGAGACAGGATGCTGAAGCCCAGGTATTATGGGATTTATCATTCATTTGACTATTCAAAACTTGTTGTTTCCGTTTAAATTTCTCATCCACTTCGTAATCTTTGTCTTCTCCTGTGTTTCAGTACATGTTTTATGAATGATTGTATTTACCTATCTTGACTTGTATTTATTCTATTTTTTGAACCTAGACAGGCTATTGAAGTTTCTAAGCGCCAAGCAAAAGTAAGAGAAATGCCAGGCAATTCTGAGAATGCTATGAAATTAGAAGCAGCAGAAGCAAAGCTACAAGACCTGAAGACAAACATGACTATATTGGGAAAGGAAGCAGCTGCAGCATTGGCTGCTGTTGAAGCACAGCAGCAGAGGTTAACTCTTCAACGTCTTATAGCTATGGTATTGCAGCTTTTCCTTATGATTCTGTGGTTCTTCAGTTCAATGAAATTTTGGATCTTAGTTATAACAGATCTTTTTTTTTAATGGTAAATTGTTAGTAGTTAATTGATAGTATATATTTACACCCTTGTCAGGACTTGAATCTAGGACTGACTCCTTTTAAACCTTAGCTCAACTGTTTCAAACCAGTTGAGTTATAACAGATCATAACTTCTAATTATTCACACATTTTATTTCTACTAATAAAGGTTGAAGCGGAGCGTGCCTATCACCAAGTAGTCATACAAACTCTTGATCAACTTGAGGGAGAGGTAAGCACTCAATCGTTTTATCATTTTGCTGTTCGATTTGTTTAGGGAAGTCAAATACTCCAATTGATATATCGGTAATTTTCGATATTATAAATGTATGATTATGTGCTACATGTATATTTAATGATAGATGATATCTGAAAGACAACGAATTGAAGCCCCTCCTACTCCTAGTGTGGATAATAACATGCCACCACCCCCACCATATGAAGAAGTGAATGATGTTTATGCTTCTCAGACACATAATGGATCAACGGATAGCATGGGTTACTTCTTAGGAGAGGTTATTAAGAGACCTTTTCTTATACATAGGGTCACATAGATATTAATAATTGTAAAACAAGTGGCTGCTTTCTCCTTGGTAACTTTTATTTATTCTTCATGCAGGTTTTATTCCCATACTCTGCTGTGTCCGAAGTGGAGCTGAATCTATCTGTCGGTGATTATATCGTCATTCGAAAGGTTTGTAGCTTACTGAATCTGAGTATAACTGTAGTTTTCTTCTATGAACCGAAGATGGCTTATCTCTTTCTCTCTTTGGGTTATTGAATTGTAATTTCAACCATCATTTTACATATGGTAAGTTGGTAACAAATTAAAAGTTTCAAAACTGATACAGGAATAACATAAGTAAAAATCGTTTATTCCATTATATCTTAGTGAAGATGCGTTTAAGCTTAAGACAGCATGGTAACCTAATACGGAGTCAGAACATGATTACGATATCATTGAGTTGTTTGACCGTCTATTTATGATGTAACTAGAATGTTCCGATTCAAGTAATTGTGGTTCAGCATCTATTAGCTTAGCATCATTTTGAAAGGAAAAATTAAGGTCAGATTTTCTTGTCGCCCCAATATATATGTTGTGTTTTCAACAGGTGACAAACAACGGATGGGCCGAGGGTGAATGCAAAGGTAGAGCAGGCTGGTTTCCGTTTAGTTACATTGAAAGAAGGGAGCGTGTTCTTGCAAGCAAAGTATCTGAAGTGTTTTAAATTTTTTTCCTGCTGGGTTGGTTTCATAACCGAGGGATTTTGTATGTGTGCATGTTTTGGCTATGTAAATCAAAAATTGATTTGTGATATAGATGCCAATTTTTCTCTTGTGATTATTATTTTTATATATGAATTTTTTGCTATCTGTCATTATTCTCCACTTCAAAAGAAGAACATTGTGGGCTATATTTTGGATCTGCGTCTAACAAATGATTGACTTATGAAAAATGAATGAGCACCGATTCAATTGAGACTATCAAGACAACCTGTCCAATCAGCAAACATTTGAAGGTAGGGATCATCAGAAAACATAATCCCCTTCCCAAGAGAATCCTTCAAATATTGCAGTATCCTCTGAGCAGCTTTAAAATGTTTTATTGAATGTATTTCTAGTAACTGGCTTAGTTGTTGTGTGACAAAACAAATGTCTGGTTGAGTTGTTAGATAAAGAAGCTTCTTAATTAATCTTCTCTAACTGGACATATCAAAATAAGGAGAACTTCATCTTGATTAACGTTGAAGATGGATTGTAGGCTCTCTATCTAGAATTGGAAAGAAGTCAAGAAAACTGTATTGCTTTTGAGATATTGATTCCTTTGGAGGCATGTCTGTGTGATTGATTTGCAAAATAAAAAGGACCGGATAAAACAATGGAAATTTTACCCCATACCCCTACAATTATATCTATATTTCTATAATTTTTAAAAAATACCAATTTTATCTCTATATTTTTTATTATATTATTTTTTTTAATACTTTTTACTCTGCTGTGTCAGATTTTTAGAGTTTCAGATTTTTAGAGTTCCAAGAAATTCACCAATCGAGTTTCTTTTAAAATGATTTTCGGTGTGTTGTTCTTTTCAAATCGGAAGACTTTGCCAAAGAGTTCCAGTTAATACACAATATGTACTGGAAGAGTTTATCAAAGACTTTTGGTTTGCGTTTTTCGTAGAATTTTACCGGAACACTTTTCTTAAGAGTTCCAATACTTGTAAAAAGTGTATCGGAACACTTTTTACAAGTCTTTCGGTTTGGTAACGTTGGCTACCGAAACTCTTTTCCTGAGTCTTCCGGTTTGCATTTGTAATTTTTTTATTTTAAATTTTTTAAATTTTAAATTTTTTCGGAACTCTTTTCCTGAGTCTTTCGGAACTCTTTTCCTGAGTCTTCCTTTTTTAATTTTTATGCAGGTACAAAAATTCCTCTACAAATATGCGATAAAGATTAGATGTGCGTAGATACGCCTGATGTTTTTTCAACTACTCAAAAATTTGGTACGCGAGAAGAGGTGATAAGATGGATTAAAGAGATTGGAATCCGAAATAAAGTAACGGTTATCATCACTCGTTCAGATATTGAAACAGGCAAGAGAGGAAGAAGTAACAAATTAATATTTGGATGTGATAAAGGAGGAAAACACAACAATATCGATAGTGGAACCCAGAGTGCGACGAAAAAATGTGGATGTCCATTTAGAATCAGATCGATTCCAACGACTGATGGATCTGGATGGAAGATTGATGTAAAATGTGGAGTTCATAACCATGATTTACCTAATAGATTAGAAGGTCACGCATTTGTTGGTAGGTTGACAGCGGATCAGAAGCAACATGTTGTTGATTTGACAAAGAGAAAGGTTCCACCTAGACATATATCGCTTTCATTGCAAGAGCAAGATCCAGATAATGTCACTCGGATCACGCAAATATACAAGCAAAAGAGTATGATAGAAAAAAATATAAGAGGTCATAGAAGTGATATACAACATTTGTTTAAGCTTATTGAGGATGCAGATTATGTTTATTGGAGTAGAAAAAGAGATGACTCTGAAGTTATTAGAGATATATTTTGGACTCATCCAGATTTAGTTAAGTTGTTGAATATTTTTCCTATTGTGTTAGTTATGGACAACACTTACAAGACAAACAAATATAGGCAACCTCTATTTGAAATTGTTGGCATGACATCAACCGAGTCGACTTTTGCTGTCGCATTTGCCTAAATTGAGTCTGAGCAGACTGAGACTTTTTGTTGGGTGCTAGATAAGCTTAAACAATTGTTTGTGAAGAAAGAGTTGTGTCCACAAGTGATTTTGACAGATAGAGATCTTGCTTTGATGAAAGTTATTGAAATTGTGTTTCCAAGGGTCGACCAATTTGCTATGTCGATTTCATATTAACAAAAATGTTGGTGCAAAACAGAAACAATATGCGACTAGTGACATGCAAAAGAAAATTGACGAATTATGGACAGATGTTGTATGGGCTAGTGATGAGGTTGAGTATGATCAAAGGTTGAACCAACTTGAGCAAATGTGTGTTGATTGTAATGAATTTATTGATTATGTGAATGACACATGGCTGACACCACATAGACAAAGATTTGTTGGAGCATGGATTAATCGAGTGCTACATTTGGGTAACACCACGACTAATCAGTATGTATTTATTTTTAGTATTTCTAAATTGTATATATATTTTTTAAAATATTTTTAATATGTATTAATTTTAGCGTTGAGTCTGCTCATTGGAAGTTAAAGCAAATGTTGAGGAACAATATTGGTGACATGGTCAAATGTTGGGAGGCTATGAATGACAACTTAAAGTTACAATTGGGCAATATTAGAGCTTCTTTTCAAAAGAGTTTTTATAAAGTTGAGCACACCCACGTAAGTCCATTTTACAATAATTTACGTGGTTCAGTGTCTCGAGACGCATTGCTGAAGAGTTAAAACGAGTTGATTATGTTGGAACTAACAAGGAAATATGTAGTTGTACTCTTAGAACAACATACGAATTACCTTGTGCTTGTGAGTTGACAGGATATAGAATTGATGGTATATCGATACCAATAGATGTTGTGTATGTTCATTGGAGAAAACTAAGTATGGAAGTTAAGTTGGACAAAGACGTAAATGATGGATCCGAGGTGGATATGAGTAGTGCAATAGATGAGTTATGGAAAAGGTTTAAGTCACTGGATGTTGTTGGAAAAAGGGCATTAAAAAGTAGGGTTTTTGAACTTGCCTTCCCCACAATGACTTTTATGTGTCCACCACCTGAGAAAATAAAAACTAAAGGGGGAGTCAAGAAGAAAGACAAAAAACCAGTAGGGTATGATGTTTATAGAGACCCTTCGTATCATGAGTATGTTGATCAAGCATCTCAATCTTCACAGAGGCAATCTCAACCATCACAAACTTCGAAGAAGTTGAAATTATCACAGTCTTCACAAAAGAAATCTCAACCATCACAGGCTTCGAAGAAGTTGAAATTATCATAATCTTCAATGTCATCTAAGCAGTTCATCCTTCAGTTTCCTAATCACATCAGCTCATATATTGATGATGTAGTTAATGTTGTATCATATGGTAATTGTGGATTTAAAGTCATTGCTTCATTGCATGGATATGGTGAAGATGGTTGGCCAATGGTTCGTCGAGACTTGGAGTTGGAAATAATATATAATGAAAGATCAAGTTTGTATGCCAATTTATTTATTGATCAATTAGCAGTAGTGAGAGAATATTTGATGATAGAGGAATTTGGTCCTCAACCACCACATAAATGGTTAACTCTATCATATATGGGTTACGTGATAGCAAATCGTTATAATGTTGTACTTGTCTGTTTAGGAATTGAATGCTGGACTTTCTTCCCTATGACAACTTCATTTTCACCAAATGTAACAATTTACTGCATTGGTTTTGTAAACAGAAATCATTGGGTTCAGGTACTTAGTTGTTTTTAGATAATGCGATTAAACCTAATTCTTTTTCGTTATTTTTACTTAATATTTTGATTATTTTTTTATTTAGGTAAACATGAAAGAAGGGTTTCCATTGCCACCAGTGACAGAGATTGGAAGAAGTTTCGTTCTCCATCAGCAACATTTTGGATGCTAGGATTTGCAGGACGTCTACAACATTGGCAACAACTTACGCCTATATTACCAGCGCATTATGAATTATAAATTATGTTACTCATTTTTAATTTCAAAACATGAATCATGAATTATGTTATTCATTTTTAATTTCAAAACATGAATCGTGAATTATGTTATTCATTTTTTATTTCAGGCTACAAGTTAACACATAAACATAAACCAACTAGGTCAAATGAGTCTAAAAGTTAACACATAAACATAAACCAATTAGGTCAAATGAGTCTAAAAGTTAACATATAACCATAAATATAAATATAAGTCACTGTGATCGAGCAATATGTAAAGCTTCGAACAAATCAGCAAACTGTGGGTCATCCTCTTCAGCACCATCTTGTTGAAGATAATGATGAATCAATGAAGACACACGAGCCTAGCTAGGATCAGATGGTCCTGCTTCATATATAGGAACTGGCATCTCTGTTGGTGCATCACGATAGGGCGGTACTAGACGAGGATGCGAAACACGATAATACCACTCAAGATATCCATCATCTGTCTCATATGGGGTGGTAGCCGGTGCTGTCGGACGAATCACATCCTGAACGCTCTGATGGTAACTAATCCAGTCAATATCAATATCACTAGCCATCGTATAATCAAGAGGTGGATGTGGAACATATTTCCTGTATCCAAACTGACACATACATCTGTCAAGCAAGTATGGAACAATAGCGTCACCCCACCTCATACACCCCCTATATAGACATAACTCATCAAACTGACGCCATACTCTATGATTCTCGAATGAGCTTCATATGACATCGGCAAGTGTCAGCTCATCCAGAATAGGTCGCAAGTCATCCACCTTCAAGGCACCTTGCCTATAGGACCATCTCATCACTCGAGGGAGACCCACATTATTAGCTGGTATCCAGTTCTCTCCTTTTTTTCCAAGTGTTGGAAAATACTCATGAATCCAGCACTGTTACAAAATTAATATTGTTACTAAATTTAAAATAATTAATTATAACATAATAAATTAGATAAATAAAATTAATATACTAGATAAAATTAATTAAAACAAAATATACTAAATTAAAATAAATACATGTAGGAGAGTCGGATAACCATCAAGCTGCTTACAACTGAACATGGAAGCATCTCCGAGATATCTATAAAGAGTAACCAACGCAGTTGCTCCCCAACTGTATCCTGATAAGCCATCCAAGTCTATAAATAGTGAGAGGTATCGTGCCTCGACAAGCGTAAATGTCTTGTCCGCAAAAATAGTGGAACCCACTAACATCAACAAATAAGCTCTAGTGACATAATCCCATCTAGATGCAGCTCTATGCTCTACGAATCGATCATATAACCACTCCAACTTATAGTAGGAACCCCTGCAGTCACGGACTTGTTGGTGTGCTACTCTCCGTGACACTCCTAAATAATCAACAGTCCACTCAACAACAAGTGCTTCACTGATATCTTGAGGGCTCCAAAAGACTCCCCTGATAGGCAAGTGAAGCAGGCAAGATACGCCATCTAGAGTAATCGTCATCTCACCAAACGACATGTGAAATGAAGATGTCTCTAGATTCCATCTCTCTGCAAATGCGGAAACCATGTTCGTGTCTATCTTTGTTAAACTGGTTCTCTGGAGTGAAGCTAGACCAGACCTAGATATCCAACCCTCCATCTCTCTGGGTAGCTGTAGTGGAACCCTCTGAATCAACTTCAGTCCATGTCCCGCTACCTTTAACTCTTTCTTCGACCCTCTCTCCTGAAAACAATTAAAAGTAAATATATTATAAAATTCAACATTAAAAATTCGAATTTTATTCAATATTAAATAATTTTCGTTTACTTACCTCACCGATCCATATACGTTTAGCAACATGATGTTTGTACTTAACTAAAACAGAGGTATCGTACGGTCCTCATGGATATCCAACAGGCTCGGATGCTGATGCAGATGCATCAAAATGCTCTTCTTCAGCCATTCTCGATGACTCGCCCCGTCCTAGTCCGCGAGAAGGGATCCTACCATCTCTGCCTCGTGTGCGCACCACTGCCAAATAAATAAATAAATAAATAAAATTAAAAATTAAAAAAAAACATGAACCAGAAGACTTGATCAAAGACTTCCGGTGAACAAACGTAAAAAGCCATGTACCGGAAGACTTGATCAAAGACTTCCGGTGAACAAACGAAAAAAAATATGAACCGAAAGACATACATAAAGTCTTCCGGTGAACAAACGAAAAAATACAACAAACCGAAAGACTTACTATTAGAGTTCTGGTATATGTAGGTGAAAATTGTAGTTTCAGATGACTTGTTGGAAGACTTCCGGTTTGTATGTGAAAAAAGGGTGTTCCGGAAGTGTTGAAGTGCAAATGAAATGAAAGTGTAAAATTTCTAAAATTATAACTATTTATACAAGGGTATTTTGGTCCAATATTTTTTAATGTAGGGGTATGGATACAAGTGTAGGGGTATGGGGTAAAATTTTCCAAAACAATACTATACAATACAGAACACTACAAGATAATTTTTTGTTTTGTATTTTATTTGATAATCGATGTATTATACAATTTTTTGTCTATTTTATTTGATATATTTATGCACTAAATAATATAATTTAAAATAATATTTTTATTGATATACAAAATATAGATATTCATGAATCAAAATATTAAATAATGAGAAGGAGAAGAAGAATGATAAAGAGAAAAAGAAAATTTTACTCTACTTTATTTGATGTGTCTATACATCAAACAAAAATAATATAACTTAACTATATTATTTTTATTAATAAATAAAATATTAATAAAATATTTAAATATCAAAATATTAAGTAGAGAGATTAAAAATTGTATTTTGATATTTTTTATTTATAATTTGTGTTTGGGACAAAAAGTTGTCTCATGGTTTAACGAGGGACAAAAATTTGAGTTTTTGTTATGTCCCTTGCCATATATTTTATCATATTCTGTGATAAATTTATGTATTAAATAGGGTAAAAAAAAGTTGTCGTGTCCAGTTTCTCATTTTTTGACAAATCAAACGCATCCTAAAGTGTTTTGTTTTAAATTCTTAGTGCAATATAGATTTGATTGAAAATTCGTGAAGAGTAATTTCCTGCTACGACGATATATTCTGCAAAACTAAAAGGACTATTAATGAGGATTCACTCTTTTTGGTGAGAAAAAATCATACGAGTTTTATTAAGCATATCCACCTTGTAAGAGTAAAGTGAAAGCATCTTTTGTTCCAATCCAAAAATCAGAGTAATTTTTTTCTCTTCAGACTAATGGTCCTTTGGATTTTAATCAAAACACAAAGCAAAAGAAAAGAGTAATCAGAAACACAAAGCAGAAGAGAAGAGTATGCACGAATCCTAACTTCTAATGTTTAAAATTTCAAAATAAGGTAGTTCAGAACAAACAAAAAAGACGTATCTATTGCATTTAAGCAAAAGAGAAGAGAAAAGTATGAATGAATCCTAATTTCAAATTTTGTATATTGTTTTAGGTCAATCACATCGACCCCGACTGACTACCAAAAAAGGATCCCGCCCCTTTCAAATCCTTCCCTGTACATAAAATTTATCATCCTAATGATCACGAGAGATATCAACTGCAAGTGCATCCAACGATTTTCCACAAATCACGGCTAACATATATATATATATATATATATATATATATATATATATATATATATATATATATATATATATATATATATATATATATATATATATATATATATATATATATATATATATATATATATATATATATATATATATATATATATATATATATATATATATATATATATATATATATATATATATATATATATATATATATATATATATATATATATATATATATATAAAAGTGGAGATTAAATTACTCCAAGAGTAAATTTTTATAACTTACTCCAAATCATAGTCTTTAAATTAGATTTAATCGAATGACTAATTAAGTAAAATGCTAAATAAACTCTTAGATTAAATTCAATTTAAAGGCTATGATTTGAAATAAGTTTTAAAAAAACTTACTGTTGGAGTAAGTTGATTCCATATATATATATATATATATATATATATATATATATATATATATATATATATATATATATATATATATATATATATATATATATATATATATATATATATATATATATATATATATATATATATATATATATATATATATATATATATATATATATATATATATATATATATATATATATATATATATATATATATATATATATATATATATATATATATATATATATATATATATATATATATATATATATATATATATATATATATATATATATATATATATATATATATATATATATATATATATATATATATATATATATATATATATATATATATATATATATATATATATATATATATATATATATATATATATGACACCAAATTGAGGTAACAAATTTCAAACTCAATTTTACTTCACTTTCTTCTTTCTCATATACTAAATTTAGCATTTAAGGTCTAACTTTGCAAGTCCCCCCACTCCACCGTATCGGAAGAAGAAATTCGCCATCATTGTCGTTCCTCCTCTCATTTCTAGTTTCAGAATGAAACTGTGCCGTTGTTTGTGGAAGTCGACTTTTGATTCCTACGATTTCCATGAATTCACATTCTGTCTGAAACTTCACCGTTCGTAACCTCCTCCGATCACTAAAGAGAAACCATTTGTGATCAAACGCGATAATCAATTGCCTTTTGATTCAACCAAGCATAATCTCAATTTTATTTCCTCAGATTTCTAGATATTTAGTTTTGATAATTTTCGGTGATGGTTGGTGATCTCACCTGATCAGAAAGGAATCAGTAGCCTGCCACGCATCATGAGCTGCTTCCTTCACCGGTGTTGTAGAGGAAGAGAGGGTGTACCTGCAAGGTGCTTCGATGCTTAAGTGAGTAACAGAGTTAGAGAGAGAGCAAGTACA